TATATATATATATATATATATATATATATATATATATATATATATAGTGTTAGGTTCTTGTGAGAAAGGAAATTATGGTGAGAAAGGTAAGAATAAATCTTTATCCTTGAATCATATACTAATTGAAAAGTGAAGACCAACACTATTCAGGTGCACCAAGATACACTAGATCAATTCTCTTATAAAGCATAATTCATTGGTGTGTATGGGATTTAAAATGATCAAGAGTGAAGATCTTTTCTTATACTTTTCACCACAACTTCACTTCTCATACCATCTTTCGGGTGTGCATATATATATATATATATATATGTATATATATATATATGCAAAAATGAAAGTGATTATATTGTAATTATGAGTGGTAAATCATGATTAAGAAAAGGCAAGGCAAAAGTCCCCAAAATATATATATAGAGTTTGTTTCAAATACAACTCATCGTATTTGTACAACCAATGCAACATAATATATTGAGATATTTATGAAAATGATTAGAGTTCATTTATTATGATTTGAATATTTATGGAATAAAATGGACGGTTGAAATTGTGTTGTATTGGTTCCACAAATATCAAAGATTGTATAATAACCAACCCCCTCTATATATATATATATATATATATATATATATATATATATATATATATATATATATATATATATATTTTGCTACAAAGGTTCATCCAAAGTTTAATAAAAATATGAATATTTTATGTAAAAAGTCCTAACCACTAAAACAAGATGACCACTTACTTTTCTTTGAGTGATTTTAAAAAATAATGTATATATTGCGTTCAAATGTTACCCACTTACTTTTCATTTATTTTAGAAATATAATTATTAAACATTTTCCAAAATTTAGATAAAATAGAAGACCACATAAATGTTGAGGTGGGGTCAACTAACGGACTTGAAACTATGTTTTTTTATATTATATTTTATGTATATATATTGCTCATTCTATTTCCTAAAAGGATTTAAGTTTTAAGCTATTTTTCCATATAAAATATAAATAATAACATTTCTTGTTAATTAACATATTATTATAAAATATCATTTGATTATCCTGCCTTCCTTATAATTATTCCTTAACATGTTCACTTTTACCATTTTATATATATCTATTAAAAGCGTACTTGTGCAATGCAACGAGATATATCTCGATTTTAATGTTTCTTTTTATTCCGTCTTTATAGATGTTTTAATACGGTGTTTTATGTGGTTTTAAGAAAGAAATAATATTTTTATTTTTAAATAAGATATAAATTGAAAGATATCATAAAATTTCAAAAATAAATATATTTATATTAGTATCAAATTAACTATTTAAAAGTTTTTGTTTTTTTGTGTGTAATTCCTTTAATTCAATTTTTTTATTATAATTTAATTTAAATTTAATAACGAAGTAATTTATTTTTGATTTAATATTATATTTTTTATAAGAATAATAATTAACTATTATGTTAAAACTCAATGATTCCTAATTATTTTAAATTTTTATATTTAAAATGAAATATTTATCATGTATTTGATTATGTTTATCTGCAGTTAGTTATACGAATTTAAACATAGAGTTTTAATAAATTGTACTTATGCACAGTTTACTTGTAATATTAAAATTATGCATCAATAAATATTTACTGTTAATGTCGGGTTAGTCGAATTTACCGTTAATAAATATTTTGCTTGAATATATTTTGGAACTAATAAAATATTATTTTCCCTAAAAGCAGAAATAAAAAAATAAATGCAAACCATGCCCATAAAGCTTAACCCGATTAAGATAAGATACTTCTCTAAAGTTGGTGGCATGTGTTTGATCCTTGATGTTTCTGTTCATATTAATATACTCTAGTTTTCTTTTTGGTTAATTATCATTATTAGCTCGGAATCACCGCATTTGAACCTTCGTGGTCACAAGAGGATTTTTATTCCTCCTTGGATTTAACTTGGGACCTCCATGTGCTTTTGACCTTTGAAGTCATGCTTAAACCAATCAAGTATCACTCTTGTGGTTTCCTACAACAGATTTAGTACCGGCACAAGGGGCGAAGACTTAAGCCTTTTGGGGGCCAGCCCCCTGCGATTTTTTATCTACTACATAGGTCAAGCTTAATTTATTATGTTAAAATTTTATTTTTCCAGTTGTAAATCTATGTTTGCACTTCTCCTTAAGTCCGGTCATCCCTGTTAGAAGACCTGTGTTCCGACGACACTTGACAAACGGTAGCATACACACTTGAATGACATTAAAATAACGTGCATATCAATTAAACTCGAAAAAAATAAAAAATAAATATACATTTTTTTTTAGAAATAAGATACTAAAAGCAAAATAATCCTTTTTCTAGACATATCACATGGAACTAAAATGAACAAAAATAAAGCAACACGTCTTTGTTCTTTACACCATTTATTCGCTTCGAACGTTTTATTAAAAAAAAATAAACGTCAATTAATCATCTCGTTTAGTATATACTTTGGTAGTACTTTTTTAAGATGATTATTGGTAAGTTATTAATAATAAAATAAAATAACGTGTAACTGAATATGTTTTAGGAGCCGTTTGATAAATGTTCAAGTGGTACAGACCAAGAATCTGGTTTTGCTTAGTAAGAGTAATGACAAGGTTCGAGAATATTACTCGGTAAATAAAGATGGTAATTCTTATCTGATTAATGTTTATTGGGTAAGAAAAACTTACCAATAATTTTATTATGTCATTTTGATGGTCGAAGATCTTATCTGATAAGATAAATGAGGGTGGTGACTTTTACCTTAGAAAACTACAATAGTATCATTTTTTTAGTTTTCAAAATTTCTATTCTAGTTATTTTGACTGATAATATTGAAACCAAAAATATAATAAAACGTATTTGACACTTTATCGAATAAAATTGTTCATTACATTGAGGGGCTGTTTGATAATTGCTTAATGGTTTAGTGCAAAATGATTAAGTGGTCAGAATGATTATAATTGTTTGGTAATTATTTACAATGAAATTAGGGTGCTGAATGGTTAAGGGAGACCCATGATGCAAACTCATTCATAGGATTTTTAGAACTATTAAGAGGACGACTTTTCTTTTGTCAAACAAGATTCACATATTAACGATTCAGATGTTACTTTTTAATAAAACTACTAAGAGGTAAATAAACAAGTTCTGAATCAAAATTTAATTAATATTTATGCATTTTACTATAAAAAATGATAAAGTTTTGGGTATGAAAATAAAATCAAGAAAATATGAGTTGTTTAGCGTAACGTTTCTCCAAAGACTCACACAACCCCCAAACACCACCCTTCTCACCGAAAGATGCACTGAAACTTCTCTCTCTCTCCTCTCTCTCTCTCTTAAGTCTTCAGCATCGACACTGTACGGCCGCTACTATTGAGTGGATTTGTGGTTAATTTACGAATATTTTTGAAGAAATGTGGGAAATATCGGGAACCCATTTGTGGGGTTTGAATTACAATGGTATTTCTTGATCTTTCTAATTGCAGGACTTTTGGTGTTTGGAGGAAAAAAAATGGGATTTTCTTGATCTTTTCGTGGGTTAAATCGACAATGTGAGGTGAGTTGTTGAAAATTTCATCTGGGTTGCATTTTCTTGTGGTGTATATGTGTTTTCTTTGATGATGGTGGCTGCCGTTTCTGAAACAACAACCAGAAACCAAACCACGAGACTGCCTTCCGAGAAGGATAATGGCATCATTACCTCCAATAAGTCAATTAGACCCAAATCAAGACAAGTTTCTTCAAGATACCTATCTCCTTCACCTTCAACTTCTTCCAATTCCAATTCAAATTCAAATTCATCATCTGTACCCACACTAACACCTTCTAGGAGGTCCCCTTCACCTCTTGTTTCAAGAAATTTGACTACTCCTGCAGCAAAACGGTCTGTTTCTGCTGACCGGCGGCGACCCACCAGGTCGGATCTTGCCTTGAAACCTAACAATGTCGGAGAGGTGTCGGCGGCTACTAAACTTTTGGTTACATCTACCAGAAGTTTATCCGTGTCTTTTCAGGGTGAGGCTTTTTCTTTACCGATTAGTAAGACCAAAGTAACCACACCATCACCTAATTTAACTAGTGTCAGAAAGGGTACCCCTGAAAGAAAGAGACCTCCCACCCCTTTGAGTGGCGGAGGAGATCATGTAGAGAATACTAAACCCACGGATCACCATCGGTGGCCAGCCAGGATCCGACAAGCAAATGTTAGCCTATCATCAAAGAGTTTGAGTTTGGATTGTGGGGTTGAGAAGAGCAACAAGGTTAATTCTTCTGGGAATGTGATTAGGGCTTTACACCAATCTATGAACTTGGACACCAGAAGGGCATCAATCGATGGTGGTAGATCAAGTCTTGATTTGGGTAATTCTATTGATCTTTTAAACACCCATCAAGAGAACCCAGATAGGAATTCTGTTAAAGATTCATACATGGTGTCATCTGATCACACTGCTTCTGATACAGATAGTGTGTCTTCTGGTAGCACTTCAGGAGTCCAAGAAAACGGTGGGTTAAATCGGTTGCGAAATGGGCCTAGAGGGATTACTGTGTCTGCAAAATTTTGGCAAGAAACTAATAGTAGGATGAGGAGGTTGCAGGATCCTGGTTCACCACTGTCTACTAGCCCTGGATCGAAACTAATCACCCCACCAAGAGTCTCTAATGTGAAGAAATTCTTGAGCGATAGTCCGTTATCATCACCAAGAACAATGGCTTCCCCGAATAGAATGAGACCATCATCACCAAGTAAGTTTATGGCATCGCCGTCACCATCCAGGGGAATGATTAGTCCTCGGAGGAACTCTGTTTCTGGAATTAGTAGTAATTTTAGTGAAACACCATCAGTACTTAGTTTTGCTGTTGATGTTCGGAGAGGGAAGGTAGGCGAGAATCGTATTTTTGATGCACACTTGTTGAGGCTTCTATATAACCGTCAATTGCAGTGGCGGTTTGTAAATGCTAGAACCGAAGATATTGTATTGAAGCAGAAGCATGGTGTTGAGGTATGATAACTAAGAACTTATGCTACATCGCTTTAAAATGTTTATTTCGAAATAGCGTTGTGTTTTTTTAATATTTCTTGAATGAATACGCGTTCTCTAAATGTTTTAACATGTGTGAAAATCACAAACATTTTGCTAATTGAATTACATATGCCCGAAGTCACTTCATCTATATTAGTTTTCCAAATTTCAGACAATCTAATTTGTGAATGAAAGAAAGAAATAGGCAATGGATAAGAGGTCTCTAAATACCAATCAACATTCTCACATTTCTACGTCTAGAAAAATCGACCTTTCATTGTAAGTAAAATAGCATGTTAAGTCGGAAATGAAATCAAGGAAATCTTTCATAAAAAAAGAAATTTTAGGACCTGAAAGTATGAATGAATTTGGGAGCGTAAACTTAGGAATGTTCCAAGCATGTTTTGGTTTAGCATTTTGTTTGTGTGCTTGCATCTTTTTTCTTATGTTGGTAGCCACAGATGATCTTGAATTTCTTGATTACTTCCCCATGAAAAAGAAGAAAGAAAAGGTTTTGGTTTTCTTTATTAGCGAGTTTGAAGGGGAGGGGGGGGGGGACACATTTCTTCTAAGATCACACTTGTTATCATATAATGCACTAACTGGAGGTCCCAGGTTCAAATCCAAGAAGGAATAAAAATCCCCTTGTGACCACGTCCACGGAGGTTCAAATGCGGTGACTCTGGGCTACCTGCAAAGCAGGTGGTCGCCCTGGGATTAGTCTGCTCGCATAGGGGGTTGGACATCCAGAATCACAATGTATTGATTCTTGGTCCAGTTCAGTTAAATTTCTAGTGCATTATTCACAATATGATCTGTACAGCAATTGATTTTAATTTTAGTTAGAGAAACTTGAAAATTGAAAGTGATTGTTGTTGCCAAGTTCAGGAAAATAAGAATCTAAAGTATGGATTAATAATAACTCGAAAAAATCCATTATGGTTTATCTTTCTTTACTTTGAGTTGAAAACTTGTAAATTTGATGGCTAAATTCAGTCGTCCCAACCGTTTGGATCTTGCCATGGCTACATAAAGTCCTTATTGAATCATTTGTACCATGTAAACTGTGTAGAAAATATTTTAGACGTTGGGTGAATGTGTCTCAAGCATCTAAGAAGACGTTAAAAATTTACAATTGGCTCTTAAGAACCATGTATCTTAGGAGGTGAGGGTTCTTCTTGTAGGAGCTCAGTAGGAACCAAGAAATTTCATTAATAAAACAATATGCAATTTTTTGAAAGCCTACAACTAAAGTTATGAAACTCTTGCTTGTGTAGGCATAATCATTTTGTTCACTCTTGATTGTTCATAGATGAACGATAATGTGCTTTATACAAAATTACAATGTAATTAAGACTATGGTTAGTCATGGTACATAGCAACCTTGAGATATAAAATCAACAGGGTCAAAGAAATTTCATTGATGAAACAGAGATACATAATCATCATGGAAACCGCCAAGATTCATTAATAATCATTGACAATATTAAGGGAGACTATTGCGGAAACCGCCATGACTTATTTAAATAGAATATGCCTAATTAATTTGAACCAGTGGAAAAAGACAATCCTACCCCCTCTTAAGTATTAGATTCACATAGAAGAGAAATGTAAATGGAAACTAGATGGATTGTTCTGATTAGTTTGTAAAGTTTGTACAATTTTGGTGGTTTGCAAAAGAAGGGGAATGTATATATATATATATATATATATATATATATACATTCCCCAAAATTGTAGATAGAGAGAGAGAGAGAGAGAGAGAAAGGATGTTCAGAGAAAACCCCCCAAAAACTGAAATACTGAGGAACACTTCGATAATCATTCATCTGGATGGTATGCACATGTGCATACAAGTAATTGAAGTTGTTTCTTGTTTTTTATGTACGTGTGCATATCGGACAAATTGATTTAATTACTCGTATGAACATGTGCATACTGTCCAGATGAAGGTTACCAGGGTGTTCCTCAGTTTTTCATTTTTTCCCTAAACCTGATTCTATACTTATACACACACACACACGTGTGTATGTGTGCGTCTAATTATTCTAGTCCAGAATAATTATGTATATATGTTTATACACACATACATATACACACACGACTTCTTCCTCCTCACCAAGCCGGTCTGCAACTCCGGTGAACCCTCCTCCCTCTCCCTTCCCATTGAGCATCCTTCTCCTCACCTCCCTTCCCCTATCCTTTCTCTTCTCTTATTCCTTTTACCCAAAACCTGGTGTATATAACCCACTGTTGAAACTCTTGTTCTCCTCTCCATATGCAATCTCTCTAAATGTAAGGTTATGAAAAAAACCCTTAAGAACATCTATAGGTTGTATGTTTTTTGACATTTAGATTGCGGTATGGACCAATTGAGGTAGCTTGATGAGTATAGTATGTCTAGGACACACAGAGCTTGGTGACTGTAATTCAAAACCACTTAAATTCTTTGATTTCAAGAACCATTAAAAACCCATAAGCCTCTATGTATGTGTAGTGTGTTTAATGTATGTGATGCTTGAGTGACATGTTTGAATGACAAATATCTGAACCATTTGGAGACCCAAAAGACTGATTGAATACGTCTTGGATCGATTTGTGCTAAATCGAACCTGGTCTTGTATGCGTTATTCGGTTGGGGGAGAAGCAACGGTGAAGGGGAAGGAGATGGAGAAAATGAAGATCGGTTAGAGCGAAAATAAGATTAGGGCATTTACATGGGACGGTGGTGTTACAGAGATGGAGTTCATTGGCGGCTGTTGAATACTTGGTCGATTGGAGATGGAAGTTGTTGAAGTCGTGTGTGTGTATGTATAATATTTTTTATAATTATTTAAATAGAAAATTAAGAGAAAACAAAAGAAGTTTGAAAAATACAAAAATGCCTCTCAGCTAACCGATCTTTTTATTACCCGTTAGTGAGAGGGACCAAAACCTGACAAAAACAGAAACTGCGATTTCAAATTTTGTGCTAATAGGGGCCAGAACCGAAAAAATCGAAAAAGCACAGGGACCAAAAATGAAGTTTACTTTAGAATATACTTTGGATGACCAAAAGATGTTTACATATAATGATCATCCTTTCACACAACAAATTGCTCATGCTTCATGACGGAACAGTAGCAGTCATTGTCGATTCAGGGAATCTGTTTGCTTCAATCTACGTTGCTTCTGAACTTAAGAGCGAAAGTTTCTATGTGTGTTCAGGAAAACCTATGGAACGCATGGATTACAATCTCGGATCTACGTGACTCCGTGACCAAAAAAAGACACAGGTTGCAATTGCTGAGGCAGAAACTCAAGTTAGCATCCATTCTTAAGGCACAAGTAAGTTTACACATTCAAGTAGAGAGATTGTCTCCATGAATACCCCGGGATTTCAAGTAAATACTTCCAGAAAATAATTCCCATTTTGTTGGATAAATGTAGATAGATTTTCTTGAAGATTGGGCTTATTTAGATAAAGACCATTCAGTATCGTTGCTTGGAGCCATTGAAGCTCTCAAGGCTAGCACTCTTCGTCTTCCAGTTGGTGCTGGAGCATCTGTATGTGCCTTTTTCTACTCTCTTCTTTTATTTCAAGCATGGATTTTTCAGAAGAAGTCAATTGATTACGATGGTCTTCATCTTGTTAGGCTGACCTTCAAAGCATGAAAGATGCCATAAGTTCAGCGCTCGATGTGATGCAGGCAATGGCTTCATCAAGGCACTCACTTTGTTTGCAGGTATTTTTCTCACTTTGTTTGCAGGCAATGTGTTCTCACAGAAACAGTCGCTCTACTACCCTTTGATACAGAGGTCTAGTCTGCGTACATGTTAGACCCTGCTTTTGAGCGGAATATACTGGGTTTGTTTGGTTTGGTTTGGTTTAGTTTGTTGCATGTGGCGTTCTTGTTAGTTCTTTGAGATTTGATCTAAAAACCAATTGGCAACAGGTCGAAGAAGTGAATTTGATGGTGACCGAGCTTGCAAAAGTGTCTGCTAAAGAGAGAGCTTTGCTTAGGATTTGCAAAGATTTCTTGTCCATTTTATCAGCCCTCAAGGTAAAATTACAGAGTAAAAGACTACAAACGTAAATGGTTCCTGTGTTTAGCTCAGATTTCGGATTTGGTCCCTAAGGTCATGGGTAATTTAGTCTTTTTACACGAAGAGACGTTTTAGCTCACAGTATGTAGGGCCATCTGTATGGACCAATAGATGGAGGAATCCATCTCCATCTTCCTTAAGCATTATTCATGCCAAAACTATGGTCCTAGGTGCGTTTTCTTGCCTGATCTACGCTACTTTGTCTAATTACGATAATACCCTTGACAGGTGAAGGATTCTAGCTTGAGAACACATATGTTACAAACGAGCCGTGTGAGCTGATGTTACTTTGACAACCCCCTACCCTGTTGAAAAATCTTGCTAACTTTACACCAAACATATCGACCGCATTAAGGATGTTTCTGGAGGTAATGACTGTGGACTAAGTAGCTGATTTTTATCGCATTCCCCTTGTGTGGCTTTCGGGTTTTTCTTCTTTTGGCAGCCGAGGGGTCGTGTTTGTAACCGATGTAAATGTATATATATATATATATAAACATACCAAATATATATGTAATTTCAATGATTCTTTTTAGATCCTCTTGTAATGTGTCATGATCTCTTACGGTTTGTGCTATTATTTGTACTTCTTTCATTGAACTTGCATCTGTTGACTATTGGTGGTCAAACATTTTGTGTGGATGGGCGATATTTTGGGCTTTATGGCTGTAATAAAAATGGGCCAAAAAAGATATGGGCCCACTTTGGGATTTTAAGAAAATGCAATTGGGTCGTCCGTGAGGGAATCTGGGCCCACAAATTTGGTCAAATTGACCCATCTATTTTGTCTTGTTGAGAGAAGAGGATCTTAACATGCCTCCTGGAAGGGTGCAAGAGCCAATTAGAACTCATGAGCCAGAGCCACCCCCTACCCAATATATTTGCATGGCTTCTTTTAGGTGTGAAATGTCCATTTTGTCCCTTGCCCTTTATTGCTTAGCTATGGAGAATCTTCACTAGTGAAGAGGAGGGTGGTGGTGGTGATGGTGGTGGAGGATATATTCTCTCCTACACAAAATCACAAGATGCAAACTATTTTTCTTTTAGGTGTGAAATGTCCATTTTGCCCCTTTCCCTGTATTGTTATTGTAATTAATGGTGGAGTAATCTTTTAAAAGGATACCCTTCAAAGGAAATGGAAAAGTGATGATAGGAATTTAAATGTCAAATACATGAATAAAGACTATTTTATATTAAGCAGATTCTTATTTTTATCATAAACAACAATTTATCTTTTGGAGTAGATGAATGAGTTTGCGTATATTGAATTTGATTGGTTTAGGTTTTACAGTCTTATAATATCATAATTAAGGTCGACCTTAGTAAAACTCCATGTACGACAAACTAGCTGATAAGCTATTTGTTAGCTGTTAGCTGATAAATTATTTATATTTGGTAGTAAAGATAAATAGTTGATAAACTAGATGCAGATGACAATATCAAATAGAATCAATGCCCAAATAACCTAAGAATCAATGAACTAAAGTACTGTATCGAGATTGTAAGTAGAAACAAGTGATAAAGGCAATCACTAAGCTAATGCAAACAATAAACATCCCATCATATGGAGAACAAAAAAGGAATAAAGATAAGAGAGACTTATAGATTCTTACGTGAAAATCCGGAAAGAGATAAATCACGTGCGAAATACGTCAAGAATTAATCTAGTATCACTTTGATGATGATCCTCAAGAGGAAGCATTTGAGAAAACAAGGATGCGAAGTCTACTCTCAAAAAGAACGTCCAGCCGGCAAATAAAAGGGGATATTAGGGTGTTCAAGTGACCTGAGACATGGCACAGTATTGGACAGTGAGATACATGCCACCGTATTGTTCCTTCGTGGTAAGATAAAAAAAATTAGGTTCGTGAAAGATACAACCGTTTATATAATGTCACCATATCCAAAAGGAATAAAGGAGTAGATGTGATCTGTAACTCATATTTATGTTATTTGTGATCCAATAGATTTGTTGTAACACATGATCCAACGGTTGATATTTTACTGGTCAGTGGAAAAAAAACCTAAAAAATTAAAATAAAACAAAAATCAATTAAAGGCGATAATTAGCCCCTAATCTCTTTGACTTCTTCACAAGAAGAGTCTCAGAAGCTTTGTGTCCCTACACGCTGAACCGGTCCCACTCTCCGACGTCGTCGTTTCAGACACATCTGACGATTTCGCCGTTCTCAGCTTCTCCGTCCACCTACCATTGCCGGAGCTCCTTCTCGCATCCTCCTCCTTCAAACCAGATCTAGAAAGTCGGAGTTCGAGATTCTCAGGGATGAGGTTCGCCACGTCATCAAAATTGCAGTTAATGGCTTCCGATGCATTGTCGCTTTCCGCCATCACCTGCGTAGCTCCGACTGGAAACAGTTCCGGCATAGCACTTATGCTTCCGCCTCGGAGTATTGTCTCTACAGCTGATTGGCATACGTGCCAGTTTCCTGTCCAGAGTAATCCGACTGCTCCGTTCACCGGATTCACCGTCCGGCCACATGCTTCGGACAACAGAGACTGAAACAAAGCTGAACACAATAATACAGACAAACAATCAAATCTCGGTAAACATTAATCGAATTTCTTACTATTAGGCAGCAGATCAGTTGTTTTTGCCCTAAATTCTGGTAATAATGTTAAGTTATACGATTAGAGGAAGTTTTGAGCCAAGGTCGATTCGAAATTCTAGGTTTCTGAATCTCAACAATCATGAAACGAACTCTAATTAGTATCTAAAAATGATGAGATGGTGATGATATTCACCAGGTCGTTGGTACTCAGGTACAGAGGAGAGGAAGGACATAAGTCCGGCACGGCCGAAGAATTTGGCGACGAAGACAGTGGCGTTGGCTTGAGCTTGAGCAGATTCGATGGCACAGAGGCTTTGTCTGAGAATGCAATTCTCGTTGCAGCCCTTTCGAAGAACTCGGCAGCCATTACAACTCATGGTCGAACTCATGTAACAATTAATTGCCTGATTGTTGGAAGGGACACGCAGAGACTGAAATGTTGAACAAGTCTTCGGAGGTCTATATATATAGAGGAAGGTATGTGAATTACCGCAACATTTCCTTACATAAAAATTGCTTTATTATATATAAAAATATTATCTATAATAGATCTGAATCATTGATCATTTTTAATTTCATGTCACCTTTAAATTATGTTTTAGAAAAAAATTGATCTGGTTTATTTCGATGCATTTTGTTATTGTTGATATTGAATTATGATTGATTTAGTGATATTTTTAATTATAAATCTCGGTAATATTCGATTTAGTTATTAATCCAGTCATAGGTTTTAAAATTGAACAATTAAAGTAATTTAAAACTAAGTGGTGATGTAACCATGGAAACCTATTGTTTATGCTAGTTGGGTTAACCATGGTTAAGTTTAATAGTTGTATGGTGGTTGTTCCAAAGGTGTTGGGCAATGACGGCTGCATGTTCCCGCGAACATGGGTGGGTGGACGGGGAGTTTCGATTGTGTCCTTCCTTCCACTGTTTTTGGAATCCTTGCCGCCCATTTGTTCCTAAACAACCTACTCCATGTCCCTTTACGACAAACTTCAAGTTAAAATCACCCAATTTTCAATTCCACCCCTCAGTTATGCCTTAGTTTAAGATTAACCCTTGTATTTTGCACATGATCCTCCATCACACCTCGTATTTTATGAAAATCACATATGATCCTCCATCTATTGTATTAATCTTTTTGTTATCTAAATTTTATACTTCAATTTAATTTGTTTATATTGTTTTTGGGTTATTATGAGTTCCGTTAAAACTCCGAAAACCATTCACAACATGTCACATGTCCCTCTTTACAATGAAATATTAATCATGAATCAAACATTCATGAGAAATATGGACATGTTATTCATCATGAATCATACATTCATGATGAATAACACGCTCATATTCATAATAAATGTCACGTGTCATGTTGTGAATGTAATTAGATTATTATTTACCAACAAATCTGTCTCTTATAAAATATATTTTAAAAATGTATCTATTTTCATAGAGGTCAAAAGTTCAAACTTTATAGGTGTTATCAGTGGTTTTAGAGTCTATATTTATAACCAGATATTCTTATACAGATTAAATGTCATAATATTTTTAATAAAAAAGAGTTATGTTATGTTTTTATTTAATGAAATAATACTTAAAAAACATATGAGAATACGTCCTTTGGAGAGCATGTAGAGATGATTGAGAGCAGAAAAAAGATTCCACCCTTTCAAAGCTTCCTCGTTAGACCTGACTCGTTATTTCACTTTCATTCTATTTTTTATATTTTATTTTATATCTCCACTAAACTTTTTCTTTTCTTTTATTATATTTTTATTTAAATTAATATATAATTTAATAAAAAGATCAAATTCTAAATTAAGTATCAAGATATCAGACGATATTGGTTTTGACATTTTTTTTATTAACTTGGATATCTAACTCGTTATGCGAGCCGACTAATTCCAGGACGATCGCCCGTTTCGTGGGTAGTCCAGAGTCAGAGCAGTTATTAGCATGTTAAATGTGTGATTTTGTACAAAGACCCCTAAAATTTGGGGATTAATTTTACATTGTTTAGGGTCATTTTATCATCAAATGTAAAAACTATAGTCTACCTTCAGTGCCACTTAAATTTCTACCATAAAACAAAAATAGTACGCTTTATCTCACTTTTATAATTTGTATATATGTATTTTTGTTATTTTATTTTGTAGTGTAATCAAAAGTTTTAGGTGTAACAGGACCTCCAAAAATAGTGGAACGTCCCTGCTTGGAGTCACCGCATTTAAACCTATGTGGCCACAAGCGAATTTTTATTTGTTCTTGGATTCGCCAGATCCATATCTAAATTCACCACGTCGGTGAGCAATGAAACATAAATGGAACTTAGTTTCCGTTTTGGTATTCGATCTTGAATTACTATCATATATTTAGTTCTATTTTATTTTTGTTAAATTGTTTAAAGTGTCCTATAAACTTATTATAACACTTTTAAATAAGATAGTTTTTTGTTTGATTCTTGAGATGTGCTAAATACATCCTTATATATTACTAAATGCACCTTGTCTACTAATTTATTCATCACACACGTCAATATCGAGACTCGTTTTTTATATATTCAATAAATGATTTGATTTGATTATGATATAAATGGTGTTGCATGTAGCAAATCTATCAAAACTTAAGTTCTATAAAATATACTATTATAACGCATAAACATTTTAGGAGTCCTATAAATCTAATATTATTATAGTGTCAGTCTGTTTGTTAGCTGCTTGATAAGCTTAATGAGTCTCACAACTTATTCAACCAATTTTATACAGCCATTTGGTAGTGGCTTAATGATATAGAAAATGGTTAATTCAATAAGCTTCTAGGAGAGAGTTTATGCAAAAAGCCAAAAAAATTCCAAACTTTCCCCTCCCAATTAAAAAAAATCGCTTATTTCATCTATGAAAAAATCATCCCAAACAATAACATTCTCATCTATACAAACTGATTAATCCATACAGACAACTTATCCATACAGAACTTAATAAAAAATCAACCAAACAACCTTTATCATCATATATTGTCATTTGGAAATATACCAGTCTTTTCTTTGATAGTAGAGTAAATTACAAAGATAGTTCTTGTGGTTGAAAATTACGTAGAGTGTCTATCAAATCCTACCAGAGCGTCTTCTAATTCTAATAAGCCACGAACTATCAAGTACTTGTGATTTCATATTTGCTATGGATCAAGTCTGTTACATTAACTCCCTTAAAATGGTTTTGTTAAGTCAAGAATATTTTAGTCATTTAACATTTTTTTTTATTCATTTTGAAAAAAATAAAAGATATATTTATATTTTTTATTATTATTATTATTATTATTATTATTATTATTATTATTATTATTATTATTATTATGTAAAAAAAATACATACCCCCAATCCCCGTGCCTGCCTCATCCCGACTCCGAGAACCACTTCCCCACCTCTTTCCCTTCCCGGTGCACCCAAGTTTGTGGAGCTCTACTTAGATCTTCTTATCTTTGTCTCGAGTCTATACTTTATCTTAATTTGTTAACTTCGAGTATGACAACAATATCGTTATGGCTCACATTAATGTACATCTTGTTCACTCAAACCTTGATTTTGAGTGAAATATATTGAGACGTTCGATATGTTTTTTGATCATCAATAAAATTTGGCATCCCGCAGCATTGCATGGGTACACAACTGGCTATTTTGTAATAAATATTTGGGAATTGCAAACCATGTTGTAAAATTGCCATCATAGCCCAGTAATTTTTTCGTAACTATTTGATTTTATAAATTATTTATAAAGTATTAAATTTAATTTCATTCTTAATCTTACAAATCAGATAAACCATAAATTACAAAACCCTTTAATGTCAAATATTTTTAGGAAATCAAAATTCCTCATAAACGAAAGGTGAATTTTGAGGTTAGTGAGTTTATCCCCCTCTCTGATTTTGAATTTGGTCAAAAGTGGAACTAACTTTCAAGCACTTGACACATTTAGTCCTTAGACAAAAATTTACTAAACTTCACAACTATGCTTCCTTATATTTACAAGATTTATAAAAAATGGTGTTAAGAGTATCTATACTCTATACATCTGAGCTAATGTAAGGAATGAAAAGAATAAAAATTATACATTATTTTAATAATATTTTTTTTTAATTTTTGAATAAAACAAAATAAACAGATAGCATGATGTACATATGGGGTTGGGTTCATATGAGACCAAGAGTTTTTCGTGAGACCCGTAAGACCAATTTATGTTCATTGATCAACTTTATAAACTAATAATCTAATAGTCTAAAGTTGTACGGTTACAATTTTGAGATTATTGAGAAGTCTCGCGGCAATATTATAATTATGAATGTTCAGATTGTAGATCTAATCCAAGGGTTGAGAATTGGTCTTATGGGTCAATCGAAAAATCATTGGTCTCACATGATCCAAAGTCTATGTGTATAATAAAACAATATAGATGGGTTAGGGGTAGGAATATGTATGTATGTATGTATGTATGTATGTATGTATGTATGTATGTATGTATGTATGTATGTATGTATGTATGTATGTATGTATGTGGGATAAGACGGATTGAGGAATGCATTGCCCACCTCTCATCCCAATTTTAGACAATCAAGGACCCCCGACCTTGACACCCAATTTTATGGGAAATCTCGGGCCCCTATCGGGGATGGGTGAACTGAGTTCTTTAACGGGTCAAGTATAGTATGTAAGGAGTTTATTAGTGTGATGTTTTTTTGACATTAGGCTTTCGACAATAGTTAAAGAGTGGACTTCATTAGAGATGCTGTTACGTATTAAAATAAAAGTTTTTATGAATTAATTCTCATTAAAATATTAATAACTTTAAAATTAAAATATTACTAAAAGTTGTAGAATGAATGAGAGGAGTGACGACTGGGACAAGGAAAGATTCCTCGAAGTTACACTATCCATCTGTCATGCGTGGCAACCCAATCCTATTTGTTCCCATGTGCACCTTCTACAAGATAATATATATATATATATATATATATATATATATATATATATATATATATATATATATATATACTTGTGTTATTCTTATAAACTTTACAAATTAAAGTTCGTCCATCCGTGTGTATAATAGCGTGCAGAAAAGTGTGTCATGTTATGATATGACACAAGACACGTCTTTGCCTTTACGATAATATTTATAGCGTTTCAATACAGTATGGTTCACGCCATGACACATTGAAGCGCGCCATGATACGTCATGCCGTGCCTTTTTTTTTTTTTTAATACAAGAATGACCTTTTTCCAAAAGGAAAAATATATAGATTTTTTAATTTCTTGTGGGTTAACCTTTTATTTTACATTTTTAGAGATTTATTTAATCACGTCACTCACAATTTTACGAATTTATACATGTCATAAACTCATGATTAGAACAAAGTTGTAAAATTACCCTTCTAAA